AGCGGTTCACACCTTCTTGCCAAACTTTTGTTATCCCCACCCCTCAATCAATTGCCCATCAACCCTCCAAATTTTGGTCTACATGAAATAATAATGTTTCAATATCCTCCTTTAAAATGTAGATTAATTTCCACAGCTTTCTTGTTTCCATTTGTACGTCTTAATTATTTAGTTGCCACTAATTTCTGATAATGAACGGGGAGAGAAATAAAGATAGAGAGAGTTAGAGATAAGAGACAAAGGACAAGATGGAAAGGGAGAAGAGAAGAGGGAAAGTAGGATAGTTGTGCAAAGCCTAATATTTATTTATTTTTCCTTTGAATGATTCTAATGAGGGTTACTAGTTAAGATCAAATTTTAAGTCAAATCTAACTTTATCATAAGCAACTCAAATTTAAATCTAAAATTATCTAAATGATAACTCATCCCAATTTAATATAAAATAAATTTAATGAATACTAAATTCCAAAATAATTTAAAGTTATTTCTTGTGATGCATCAATTATCCTGGGATGGAAAAAAATCCATTATGAAGAGTTGAAATGTTGCTGGAGGAATTGTAGGCTTTGGATTGTAATTTAGTGCTAATGATGCCCATCCTAAGGAAGAGGGATCCATGCAATGCCAATCTTTAGAAAGAGGTGTTTATTGAGAAATCTATTGCTAGGAGCTAAGTTTGAAGGGGAAAAATGTTAGTATATTAACAATATTAATAGAAGATTCTTCTTTTTTATTCTCTAGAATATTATTATCAAAACTTGTAAAGAATTTTTTGAAATCATGAAGGTCTTCATGCTTGTTACTTAACTGACTTGATCTAATTCATTTAATGGTTGCCGATGGTGTAGTTTTGTCAATAAGGAAGGAAGATGACACTTTCATTGTTCTTCCTAAGTTACCAATTGCCAGATTAGACAACTGCAATTTCTACTTTCTTCTTGATTACTTCATCTCGTGTCACGCCAATGACCCACAACATAAACCACTCTTTAGAAAAGGAAAGATGTTGTCATTTTCTATTTGATATATCCAAGATTGTCTAGTCTTTTAAGATAAGTAATTTGCCATTAAGAGGATTGTTTGTTTTGCTTCATTGGTGAGGATGGTTTGCGATGAAGTTCTAAAACGGAAGTTTGAGCTAGGCAGAGATATGCACTACAGGTGATGAACACGTTTGTAAAATGTGGAAGACATCAATTGTGGTTGTGAGTAGGGCCATGGAACCATTCTATTTGGATGAATTGGTTCACATATTGTAAGAACTGAGTGACACCAACATCAAAATTCCAAAAAATTGAATCAAATTTTTGCTAAAACCTATCCCAACTGAATGTAAATTCAATTCAGTTTAATCAGTTTGATTTTGAGTAAATCGAAAATAGCATTGGGTCTTAAGTAATTAAAAATCAAGGTTCCATTTTGAGATATTTTCTTCAGGTGCCTCTCCCTCTAATGGACCACATTAACAAAATTTCTGAGGGTCACTTCTCGAAGATGGTAATGGACAAGCCGATCTAAATGAATTGAATTTTCAAATATCCTAATATTATTTTACTTTTTTATTTTATTTGGTTTTGATGATTTAAACTGATCCAAAAAATTGAAATCCAAATATTTTAAAAAAAAGAAACTTGAATCATTATTTCAAAATTATACCGAAATGTGGTTGGATTGGTTCAATTTGGTTTTTCAAATTTGACCAAATAACGCACACTCCTAGTTGTGAGAAGTTTAAAAGGCTGTTACAAGCTAGATAGGTATGTGGGAAGGGTGACTAAGAACAAGTGCAAAGAGGTGATAAAGCGGAGTGGTAAAGTTAGGCGGTCTCGATGCTCCCAACTTGCTGAGGATTATGGAGGCAGAAAATGAAAGTGTTGAGCAAGCACTAGAAGATTTTTGCATGCAGGTGTGATCATGAAGATGATAGATGCTAGTGCCATCTTAGGAAACATAAATTGGAATGGGCACACACCTGAGCTATCTTAAATGCGGTCGTAGATGAAGGGGTATATTATGAAGTGTGATATGGTATGGAATCGACGCAGGCAAGATTAAGTGATTAACACAAATGAAATTGAATTTGATGAGCCAAGGTTGGTCTCTAATACCAAAGTTAATGGAGAAAATGGAGAGATATGGCAAAGAGTAGTAGAGATAAACTACATGAAAGAACGAGATAGAAGGAGACGGATCATTTTTGAAACTCTGTATATATAGGTCCTTTGGCATGATGGCAAACTAGTAACATTTGAGTAAGTTGATTTATTGAAATTTTGAAGGCACCTTCTTTCTCCAATTTCCACTTCTCCTTCTTAGCATTATGGTTGATGAACATAGTTATAAAATGCGAAAGAAGTGAACTACGGTGGGGGGAAGCATAAAAAAGGTATTGTGAGCTAAGCGGGTGTGCGTGAAGGATGGCAAAAAGTGAATGTTGAGAGGAGATAAAGTGGGAGTGGTTTTGTGGATGTGAGTGATCACAAAACTTCCAATTTGCTGAGAATTACAAAGGTGGAAGATGAAAGTGTCAAGTGGGTATGAACATGACATTTGCAAGTAGGTGGGATCATGAAGATGGAGGATGCTAGTTCTGAGCTAGGATATGCACGTTGGTGTGGATACAAACCAAAATGATCACATATGTGGTCACAGATGAAGATGGCAGCTTATGAAGTGCGATGTGGTGTGGAATTGAAGCAAGCGGGATTGTGGCGGATTGAGTCGAATTGAATGGGCCAATGTTGGCCTTTGATACTAAAATTGATATAGAACTGGGAGAAAATAATTAGAGTAAAGAGTAGTAGGGATTGAAGAGATGAAGGAACGAGAAACAACTTGACCTCTCATCAACAGAAGAGAGAAAAAAAAAGTGTTAGTTGAGCAAAAACCAACTTATTTTTATTATTTACTTGAGTGCTATTTACAATTTGTTAAGGGCATTATATGTAAAAACTCTTTGTATATATAGGTCCTTTGAACTAATAACATTCCTCACCCGCCGCTGTTCCATCTCAGTTGGTTTAACAAGAAAACCCAATACCCAAAAAATGGTGGCTCCATAACAAAACATAGGGACCTCTTTATCTGTGATGACTATAGAGTAATTTGATCCTTACTAGCTAGAAAATTATTAAACTCGTTACCTAGCTATTATGTTGCTTCAACTATTAGAACAATGTCAAATGTAACCGATTAACAAGAGTCCTTTACCCTTCCTATTATTGTGGATAAGCTATTGTTGGATTTTTTTGGAAGATTTTATTTTTTGTATCTTCTATTATTAGTATTTTTAATTTTTAGCATTCATAATTATTGGTATGTAATAATTCCGATTTCTTTCTTTTATTATGGGGAGTTATTGATCTTGTAATCATTTTATATGAAATTGAAGATGAATAAATACTTTTCCTTCTCCCAAATTACATGATATTAGAGTTTGAAATCGCCCTAAACCATCGTCTTTGTGATCGCATCCTCGCGTTACTGTTGTGATTAAAACCTGAAAGGCATCGACGAGATAGTTGTGATTAGATCTCCCTGTGAAGGTAGTAACAAGATCATTATGATTAGAGCTACTGAGGCAATAACAGTATAGTGGCGTGCAGAGACCAACGAAACTCTCATATATTCTCCTCATACCCGATACGTTTGAGGAAGGTAACTTCACGTCTTTCTTTCCTCACGATGACTACTTTCGTCTCGGTAAGGACTTTACTTGTAGTGATGACTCCCGAAAACGTGGAGAGTTAATGAAAATAGCTCTCGTCCCAGTTTCCTCACGGCTTTGTTGTCGAGGGTTTCAAACCTACCACGACAACGGATTTTAGCTCCTCTCCCTACTTTGACTCTGGAAGCCGCTTCTCAGTGGCAAGCTTTTTCTCTACTAATCTCTTGTCAGTCTTCAGTGTCATTGGAATGAGGAAAAGAGAACCTCTTCTTCTTTACTTTCCTCTAGTTTTCACATAGAAGGCTTCCTTTTTCAAGTGTCGTGAGTCAAAGAATCAAATCGAATTAGAAGTGTGCCCATCAAATACTCAATCTAGTTTAGCCCTGGTATCAGCTGCTCCTCTACTTTGCTTAGAGTGCCGAAATAATTCGTGATCGAAATTGACTCAGATTTTCAGACTTATCCTCTTCTCTCTTCTCTTCCGATGATGTCACACAAGTCAGCAATGATCGACACCCAAAAACATTCTACCATATCTATTGGTTCCATTAATTTCAAAATTAAGTCGCTCTACCTATGGTGGTGCGAGCATCACAAAAAATCATGAAATACGAATGAGACATGTGGGAAGCTTATGATAAACCCACAAATTGAAAATAAAAATCTAAATGTGAAGGTTGGGTCTATCAAGCCATCTCTAATGAAACTCTTCTACCAACTCGAACATAATACCTTTTACCAAGGAGCAGCTAGACAATCTGCACATGTTTCAGTCTCTAAAATTATCACTAACTCTATCATGCTTGCCAATACATATTGGTACCTCTCTAGCCATTACATTGTTAGTTGTTAACCCAAAATTTATTTATTCTTGGATAATTGATTTTGGCATAACTGATCATATAACTAGTTCTAAATTATTCTCATCCTATAGACCTTGTGCCGACAATAAAATGGTCAAAATTCTCGATGCTTCTCTCTCGGTAATTGACAAGAAAAGAATTTTTGAAACTCACATCGTTGTTAACTCTTCATGATGTGCTTCACTTCCCCAGATTATCTTATAATCTATTGTCCATTAGCAAAATTTCTTTTGATTATCAGTGTAAGTGAATTACTATTCTTATTGTGAGCTTTAGGAATTGACTATGGATTATATTGACAACGCTAAGGAAAATGATGAGCTATTATTTTGACGATAAACTTGATGTGAATAGGCAATGTCAAAATATTTATTCTGTTTTCAAAAATAATAATATTATGTTATGATATTATGTGTTAATTCATCTTAGTTTTTGACATATAAAATTCTTGTTTCCCAAATTATTTCAAAATAAAAACTAGTCACATTTTTATTGTGAAGTTTGTGAGTTTGTTAAACATCATCGTGTGTTTTTTCCTCCTCAAATTTACAAACAACTATACATTTTACTTTTATTTATTGTGATATCTGGGCCCTTATAAACATCTTATGCACTTTAGAAAAAAGTGGTTTGTATTTTTATTGATGATCACACCAAATTAAGTTAGATGTATTTACTAAAAGAAAAATCTGAAGTGAAAAAAATTTTTAAAAGCTTTCACACCATAGTACAAACATAACTTCAAAAAATTATTTAAATATTAAGGAGTGATAATGACCGATAATTTTTTAATAATATTTTTTAAAGGAATAGTTCATCAAAGCTTTTGTGTTGACACTCCACAACACAATTATGTGGTTAAATGTAAAAAAACAAACATTTATTAGAAGTTGCTCGGGCATTGCTATTTACAAATCAGGCGCCAAAATATCTTTGGTCTGAAACAGTTTTGACTGTTACGTTTATCAGACGTTTATCGTTAATGGAATACCAGATAAAATTTTAAACTTTGAAGCACTTTTTGATATTTTTCATAAAATTTACTCTAACACATCAGTTTTATTTGATTTACCTTTAAAAATCTTTTTGCGTATTGCATTTATTCACATTCATAATCATAATCAAGGAAAATTTGAATCCCGAGCCATAAATGTGTGTTTGTTTATTATATTCAAACTCAAAAGGGGTATCAAACTTTTGATCATATTTCTAAAATATGTTTGTTTTCATGGATGTTACTTTTTTTGAATTACAACCCTTTTTTGAATCTCATCTTTAGAGGAGGAGGAGGGGGGGGGGGGGGGGGGGGAGAGGTTGGAGAGGTATTATTTTGTGAGTCAGTAGTGAGAGCTAGCATTTATCATTTGATTCAACATGAAAATCCGATAGTTATCATCTATTAACCCGTTAACAATGCTGTTATAAAGATGAGAGTTAGCATTGCATGGGTGGTTGGTGACTAGACATCATAGAATGGCTTTGGTGAAATCTTACTTTAAGCCATTTATCATGGAATATGACAGATTAGTCAACTCTGTGTGGTGATAGTTTCGAGAATGAAAATTGAAAGCTGCGATAAACCATGTGATGCACTAAAACTGTCATGTAGTCTTGGAGAGTTTCACACTCAGACACTTAATGAGATGTCATTTGGTGCTGCCTAGTCTTTATTAACACTTAGAAACTCTTCGACAACTTTTGTTTCAATCATGCTGCCATACCTGTAATTTTGTACCAATATCCCTATGTTTGGTTATTTAAAAGTGACACTTCATCATTTGACAGCGTGGGCTGTTCTTCATATTTTTTTGCCTTGTGCTTGAAAAAGAAAGAATTATAAATATGAGCTCCTTATTCCATCCCAAGGTTTTTTTTCATTTTTTATTAAATTTAGTATAAGTTTTTCATACTTTTTTTTTAATTTTTCAGGATTTATCATGTTACCTTATTTGTCATTTTGGGCCCATATTCCCTCATCTTTGTGCTTTAAAGGTGATAATACATCATTTTACAGTGTGGCTGCTATTCATACCTTTTGTTTTGTGCTTGTTAAAGGAAAGAATAACGAAGATGAACTCATTCTTCATCCAGAAGTTTCATTTAGTCATGTTTTTGTCCTGTTTTGTTTTTAGAAAACCCTGCATACCTCAATTTTCATTTTTGTGGGAAGCATGCAATGGATGGTCTTTCATTGATTATGGACATCTGTAATTACTCCATAACAACGGGGTAATATACTGCCAAAATAGCTTGTCCATCTGGGTGAGGGTTCTGGCGACTTTATTTCATGCAATACAGCACAAAACAACGTCACAACAGTCACAACAGTACCAGCGATGTTGACAAGTGCCTTTATATTCTGTCGTTTTTTATTCTCCATATATTTATAATTATACATCCAATCAGGTTTACAGCATGCATATATTTGATTTTGAGTTTTACAGTTGTGTTTGCTTAATACACAATGTCTTCCTTGAGTACAGTGGTCAAAACTTCAGATTAAAACATTTGCAAATAATACCCGCCTTTTCAGCTTGTTTGAATTATCATCAAAACTTCAATCCTTCAATAAAGAAATCCTCTACATTCAAAAGGGTTCATTTTTCTAGATTCTTTTCAATGAATTGCTTCTTCTATGATTTTAGGTTGAAGAGCAACCTGATAGGCCTGAAGTTCCAGTTTCAGAAGGGTAAATTTATTGTTCTGAAGTATATTTTGATGGTTCTTTGTTTCATGCCATTCTTAGTGTACCTGATGCTTTGACTTGTTGATTATATCGGTTATCTTTAATTCTTTGATATGCCCATTATTTTCTGGCAGTCAAGTTGGAGATAGTGAGTCTCATCTTGAAGCGAATTCCAGCAGTCATATCGAAATGGATTCTTCCACAGACACAGTAGGATGTGTTAAGCATGATCTTTTACCAACTATGTGCATTTTTATTGAACAGCACTTTGCTAACCATCATTTTGTTATGCTGTCTTCCTGCTTGTGCAGGTTTTATGTGAAGCTCTCCATTCTAGTTCTTGCTGTAAGTTTTTTAGGATTCATTCCTTGCTTAAGCACTATAGTTCTTTGCTTATATTAAGTTGTCTTTTTTGGGCATGTATTGCTAGTTTATAACATGGTTAATAGTGTGTAATCTTACTTACTCTGTCAAATCTTTTTTATATGTAATAATTTTTCTACAGTTACTGCCTTCAAGCTAAGTCCATTGAAAACCATGCTGTGTTTTCAGCCAAGAAATCAACAACTGGAGACAAAAGCAGCAGCAGACCTTCAACCAGACCGTCCTCTTCAGTATCAAGTGACGGTAATTCTACTATCTCCAACCTATCAACATCATCAAATCTCCCAGCTTCTGAAGGAAGCCCATTTTGCAATACTTGTAAGAAGGTGAGGTTGAACCTTCCAAAATTTCTGGGAGCAATTTTTTTCCAAGATTTGTAAATGAGATTTTGATTTTTTTTATCTATGCCATTGTTATGAATACCATTAGCACATTGGGAGATTTAAGATTTATTACATGAAAAGTTAAGATTTACAACATGACAGCATGGAAATTTAGTGTCAAGGTACATGTTTGATATTAATTCATTGATTTACTGTATCCACTATTTAGTGAATATTCGAGGGGTTTTTGGTCAAATTATATTGTGCAACTCTCGCTTTTCATTTTGCAACTAAATTTTCAATCTCATTTGTGCCTTTTGTTAAATCTTTTAAGATTTTGATGAGCTACTTTAACATGCTGGGCATATCTAGCTGAGTATCGAATTACTGATTATACTGTTATAGCAAATCTGTTGATTTGTGAATTGAGTAATTGCTTTCGTAAATTGCTAATTTATATTTAGTTGTTTGTTTTGTCATTTATGGCCTGGGTACTTGAGCAGATACTTCTTTATTTAATGGCATGTGAGGTCCTAGCTCCTCAACTTTTCAAGTATGAGCACTTTGCATGACAATAAATACTTGCCATGTAAGTTGGAGAGAGAGTAAATATTTAGAAGTTCCAATGGCAGTGTAATATTTAGTGAAATTCACATTCATTGAACTCAAAATATTATGATCTATATATTCAACATCTAAACTTCATTATTTACATATATTGAACCAAAACATCAAAGTAAAATGAAATAAAATAATACCTACAATTACCACTCATCATGGTGGTGCCCAATCCTATCACCTTCTGTTTTCAATCTCGTCATTGACTGTCCTATGTCTGTTCTCGCTGCCAACTTCATTGTTGACCTCATGACTGCCAAGCTTGCCACCACCGCTGTCGAGCTTGCCGTCTATAAAGTTACTGCCCACCTCGTCACCATTAATGTGCCACCAAGCTAGTCACCTCGTGGTCTCAGAATTTGTAGCCAACTTTGTCGCCGACCTTGCTTCATGGCTGCCACCTCGCGCCGTTGCCCTCACCACCTCTCCGCTACCATCTGTGAATGCCCCACAATTATTGTTAATGGAGTTAACATAGTGCTTTTTTTGTAAATAATAAAGCTTAGGTGTTGAGTATGTAAATCTTAAAGTTTTGACTTCATTGGATGTGAACCAAGATAATGGAGGACAGGGAGGAAAAGGAGGATGGAGAGATTTCTAGATGGTATGAGCTTATTTATGATTATCAGATTTTGCTTAAAAGATTTTTGGTTTTGTTCTCCACCACTCCATTCAAATTAAGAGCTTACATAACTTCCAAATTTATGCAAATTGAATGTTTCCTTATAATTATGACAGTATTTTGTTATTGATCATATATGTTTGATTTCCTGATTGTTTTCTTCTCAGTTAATTTTTTCTATTCTGTATTGCAGGAATTTAAGCTTAATCCAGAAGCAAAAATTTTTTTACCATCATTTTCTAGTGCTAGATCCACTTCCACGGTCATCCCTACTATTATGAATACAAGCTATGCATCTAGCCTCCCTTCTGCAATGCCAGCTGTTGCTGCACAGTCAAGTCTCGAGATTAGCTCTTTTCCAGCTTGTGCACCTCTGCCTGCTAAATTTGTGCAGTATAATCCTTTGGTTGCTGCACAAACTGGAATCAGCAATCAATATCCACAGCCTGTAAGTTTTCTAATATAATACACTCACGGCATTCTTTGCTTTATTTAATTTTTATAAATTATTTGTTTGGTAATGGTTCAGTTTTTAATTGTTGATGCTCTATTTGGATGAAAGATCATTCGTCAAAATGTAAAAAACCAGGTTATCTGTTGGCTTAAATTTATCTAATTTACTATGTCCATGACTCCTCCATGTACACCATCACAGCCACCTCTATTTCTGTCTCCACTTCCCTTTTTTGCCGTTAGTCCGTCTTGTCACTGCACTTTTCATTATTTTTTTTCCCTCTAGCTTCTGCATGCTTGTTTTAGTATTCTGTTACTATCTCATATCTTTATTTCTGTGAACATTGAGGCCTTCATCTTTTATATCCCAACAAATCTTTTATATCCCAACAAACCCCGCCGCCGCCACACCTCCATCCTTCCATTTCTGCTATTACCTCCTAATGGAATCGCTTAGCTTCATGTTATTTTTTGTTATTTCATGTTTTATTTTAATGTTTTATGCTATTTAGGTTTTATGGTTACTTTTAATTATAACATGATTATTTGGACATTTGTTATTGACTTTGTTAGTTTTTACATAATGATGCTACTTTTAGAGTGGTGTCCCTTGGGATGGCTAATAATATGTTACTAGCATAATGTGGGATATAGGATTTTCTTATATAATAGAATGGAAATGATGCAATTGGATTTGTTTGTCTATAGTTGCTAGAAGTTGTGCTTCTGTATTTTTTGTAGTGGGGAATTATTATATTTTAATATAGATACTTTCGGGAAGTTTATTTAAATCAAGAGAAGATAACAATAAATTCCTTCTATGTTAAAAGATTAAGTACATTATAATTTAAAAATAATCTGATCTTTTATTTTACTTTTATTTAATATATTCTTGGGTAGATATAGATACATAATCGGCTGAATATAAATTTTTAAATTTTTTTTTTGAGCCTAGCACAATCTTAGCTAGGGTCTTAATATCGTGAATTTTTCATGACTCTTGATTATGTGGGTTTTATTCATGATCCTTTACGAGTTGTCTGATACAGGACAACTGTTCCTTTTGAACTTTGAGTTTCGTTGTGATGCAACCTTTGGGTTCTTTTGACTCAGAAATGGTTGTTGATTCCATTTTTTTGACGTTCTTAACTATATACGAGGAAGATTTTTTTATCATGTATCCGGGCGTTTGAGCTATGTGAAGAAAGTGATAATTTGTTTGGATTCTACTTCATTATTGCTTGTAAAAGAATTTCTAATCATTTGCAATTTATTCTGTCCTTCTCCCATTGCAATTTGAGATTGAAGAAGCTGTCTCCTTAAATTGGGCATGAAGCCCAATTATTTTATTATATTGAATCTGTTATTTTTCTTATTCTTATTAAGTAATTGTTTCTAGTAGTTGTTTGATTAGATTATGTTAAATTACGTATAAATTTTAATTTTCTTAAATTGTGGCATGGTTTTCTAGTCAACATATGGTTTAATTGTTTATGAATTTCTTTGTTATTTATATTAATCGATTGTTGTATTATCATCTATGCAAATTTTGTCTAATTCTAATTTTCATTTCAAGGAATGAACAAATGTCTAAGGTTTGTGAATTGGAACCGGAAAATTGAACATATTTCCATTGTTTTGTTCGTCCCCATTAGATCTTTTGTATTAGGAATACCCTGGACTAAAGGTGATTTTGAGTCAAGTTAGGATCGAGTTAAGTCGAAAGGGATTTATTTTAAGCAACCTTTCAAGCTCATTAAAGCCTATATTTTAATTTAAAGAAAGTATCATCTAAAATTTAATTGATATTTAAATAAGTATTTGTACTTGATATTGATTACCTGTAATATTAATGTTTATGTGTGCATGCGTATATATCATTGATTAAAATGATGTTCGAGGTGCATGCCTTGAGTTGTGCCTCATCATGAGGCAGCCAAAAATTGTTTCAACATATGTTTTAATTGTTTATGAATTTCTTTGTTACTTATATTAATCGGCTGTTGTATTATCATCTATGCAAATTTTGTGTAATTCTAATTTTCATTTCAAGGAATGAACAAATGTCTAAGGTTTTTGAATTGGAACCGGAAAATTGAACATATTTCCATTATTTTGCACGTCCCCATCAGATCTTTTGTATTAGGAATGCCCTGAACTAAAGGTGATTTTGAGTCAAGTTAGGATCGAGTTAAGTTGAAAGGGATTTATTTTAAGTAACCTTTCAAGCTCGTTAAAGCCAATTTTTTTAATTTAAAGAAAGTATTATCTAAAATTTAATTGATATTTAATTAAGTTTTTGTACTTGATGTTGATCACATGTAATATTAATGTTTATGTGTGCATGTGCATGTATCATTGATTAAAAAGATGTTCAAGGTGCATGCCTCGAGTTGTGCCTCATCATGAGGCAGCCAAAAATTGTTTCGAGTATTATGCCTTAATGGTTTCGGTGAGGCCTGCACTATTTTTGGTTGAGACATGTTGCAAGGCTTCTTTTCTGTTTGAGTCTGACACCTCAAGTATAATAAGAATTAAAAATTGTTTGTTATATGATATTGTTATACATACGTAATATAACTTATAATAGGTTTCAATTTAAGTTTTTTGATAGGATTTAGAGTCGAGTGAGGTAGAGAAAAAGGGCAAAGAGCAGGCTGTAGTAGTGAGTTGCCTAAGTGTGGGGTCGGGGAGCACCACAAAGGGGAAGGGTTATGAGTGGGGAGCATTGCGGCAACTGCTAGCAGTTGAGTAATTACATGTACTCCTAAGCCAAGCAAATACCTTTTTTTTAATAATAAATAAATTTTTTTTTTTAATATGTTATTTGTTTTAATAACTTTTTTTTATTTTTCTTTATTTGAATCTACTTGCCTTTTTTTATTTGATTTTTAAAAGATGATAAATTAAGTTAAACTATTTATGGATCATGGTAGTTTTTATCTGTTATTTTTAATTTTTATAGATTTTCTTTCAATTTGGCTTGCACATTGCTTCGCTTAGAAAAAACCAATGTGGTGTGCATAGACACACACACATCTATAAACTTATTTATTCACACTTTATATATGTGAATACATGCATGTGCATGCATATGTATCTTTGAAAACATGTATTGTTGTGTAGATAAACATGTATTGATTCAAACTTTTTAAAATGAAATTTCTATTTTTAAGTGTTTATTTTTATGAGAAAAATATAGCTTTACTTTTCTTGTTTCTCATTGCCATTTTGGACACTTGATATTTAATTTGGTAGTTAGTTATTTGTAGCCCTACTCTATGAATAATCTTTTTATTAGTCTATCTTAAGATGGATAAGAAGTTCTGTCATTGGCCTGTAGTCTTTTGATTCCAATTGTAAAGCTTGGAAAGAGCCGTTGAAATTGTATCTCACCTATTTTGTTCCATTTTCTCTTTATTTAAATATCTCTTATGTATTTTATCCTTCTATATATTTTTCCATTTTAAGCCTTCATGTTGGTTTATAAGCCTTCCACATTGCACGCTCATCTCCTTTGTCATGCCCATCTACCTCCGCCCAGTGCACCACATTAAGCCCATCGCTCTTGTCAAACTGAGTTACTGAGCCAGTGCTCTGAATTTCATCATTAAGAGGCTTTGGTGAGAGCTGAGTTGATAATTCAGGCTCAAGCAGTTTGCAGGCCATCTTAGAGCCTGTTTGGCGCAGCTGCAGATTCTCAGCTTTTCAGCTGCAGCTGCGCTGGCCCCGG